AAAAACCATCATTGTGTGACCACCTACCCCACAAAGACAGTGTATTTTGAGGAGCTTTCTGAAGTACCATTGTATAAATAAGGTGGAGGGAGAAGGGAAGAGGAAGAAGGCTTTTATAAAACTTTCTAAACTGTCAATTTATTTTTAAATAAGTTTCAGTGTTCTCAGGGGAGAACTGCCATTTGGAGACTGTACTCCTTTACCAGAATACTACTTTCTCCTGAGGCAGTTTCAAACTGCTGGCCTTGCAGTTAGCAACCCAGCACTCAGCTCATAACCACTATGCAACCAGGGCTCAACTGAACTAAATATTGTTCCTTTAAATTCTGCATAAGAGTCTGTCTGGGTGGCCTCCACCAGCTGCTCTGAGGGGAAAGATGAGGCTTGCTGCTCCTGTGGCAATTTAGAGCCCTGGAAATCCAAAAAAGCAGTTCTACTCTGTCCTACAGGATCCCATGGCTCAAAATCAACAAGTGGGTGAAGGGTACACTATTGGGGTGGGGTCATTAGTAAATTGTGGAATATAAAGTTGATGACCCAAAATGTAAACCTCTACTTACTTTACAATAAAAAATTGGGGGGTTGGGGGGGGGGGATGAAAGAATATTATGGATTTTTATCTTATGGTACTGCCAAGAGGAACATATAGTACCGCTCCCCCCACCCCCATGGCTGGTGGGTGAGTCTGACAATAGAAATATTTATTTCAGTTGACCCTTACTTATGGTTAACTTTTAGTACAATTAATTGATTCACAAATAGTTGTATGTTAATTGTTCTGGATCATATTCACCCAACCTAAACACATCTAATCACCTACCAAGGAAGTACTAGAGATAGATCTTAGTCCATTGGCAGTAAAGGGTGTGGCAGGGGCTAAATTATGACTCAGTATTAGATCACATGTCAAGGTACAGAAGTACTTACTACTTTGTCAGTCAAACCCTGTCATTTTTTATTCATATTGCCATTAAAAATACTCTACAGGCTATCGAAAGATATAGCATCTGCAGTCTTAAAGGCCTGAAGATAAACAAAGTGGCCATCTAGCTCAGAAGCAACAAAGCCCACATGGAAGAAGCAGACAAGCCTGTGTGATCATGAGGTGTCAATGGGATCAAGTACCAGGCATCTAAGACCCAGCATAAAATCATACCTAAGGTGAATGGGGGTGGGGTGGGGTGGGGGATGGAGTGGAGACCCAATGCCCATCTGTAGACAATTGGACATCCCCTCACAGAGGGGTCACAGGGAAGAGATGAGCCAGTCAGGATGCAGTATAGCACCAATGAAACACACAACTTTCCTCTAGTTCTTTGGTGCTTCCTTCACTCCACTATCATGACCTCAATTCTACCTTACAAATCGGATTAGATTAGAACATGTCCACTGCTATAGACAAGAGCCCGCAACACAGGGCCAACAATGAGAGCAGAGATACCAGGAGGATTAGGGGAGGGGAGGGGGAAAAAGGGTGAATTGATCACAAGGATCAACCTAGAACCCCCTCCCAGGGGGACAAAAAAATGGAAAAGTAGGTGAGGGGTGACGAAGGATGATATAAGATATGAAAAAAATAATCTATAACTTATCAAGGGTTTGAGGGAGGGCAGGAGGGTGGGGGACGGAGGGGGAAGAAATAGGGAGCTAATATCAGGGTCTCAAGTAGGAAGAGAATGCTTTGAAATGATGATGGCAGCATATGTGCAAATGTGCTTGACACACTGGATGATTGTATGGATTGTGCTAAGAGATGTAAGCGGTCCCAATAAAAGTATTAAAAAAAAAAAAAGCTCTACAGGATATATGATGACAATGAGCAGACAATCAAGGGGCTCTCTTATAACATAGACCCTACAGTCAGAGACGTAACAGATTATAGATGATAAAATGCCTAATGACAACTCTGATCAGGCATATTTAGTGGCCTGCACAACATAGATTTAATATAAATGATAAACCTTCATATACAAGGAGGCTTTCAAAAGGTTCCTAGAAAAATTATAGTATTTTAAAATTCTGTTTTCCTCATATTTTTGAGGCCCTCTCATCTGACTAATAGGTAATTTATGGAAATATTAGGTCCCTTTTCTTTGTGCTAGAATTTCGAAACAAACATTAACAAAAATATCTCAAGTTACTCCTTAAAAAAATAAACAAACCCCCAAACAAAACAAACCACAAAGCTCTGGCCAGAGGATTAAAGTAAACAAAGATTTCAAGGACATAAAAAAATTCTTAATATGATTATTCAAGATTAAATGACTCACAATACATACATAACAGTTACAATGATGGTATCAAACCATTTGTCAGGTACTCAAAAAATGACTAAGGACTTTGATAACAGTAGAAGTAGGTTCAATTCTCAGGAAATGAAACTCACCCATTTACTATTTTTTACTAAAGGTCCTAGAACCCTTCACACTGGCTGTTGGAGGCCCCTCACCAAGCAGGAGCGGAACTTCATACCATAATGGCTGTTACATCACTTTGACCATTTTGAAACAAGCCCCAATACCAGCTTGATTCAACAGATACATGGTTGAGTACAAAAATAAAAATACTCAGAAGACAGATCTTTATGGTCTACCAAACATATAACACTTAAACAAAAAGTAGAAAAAATGAAAACTACCATGGGATTATTTAACAGTGTCAGTAAAATAGACACCCTAGGCCTTTAGGGGGCAGGAGAAGATTATAAATAACCAAATACCTTATGCGACCGTGCTATACAGTCTTCTTTACATATGTATATAGTATTTTAATATAGAAAACAAAAGACATCTAAATAAAGCACATTTATTTTTATGCACAATCAAATAGCTTAAATTACAGGAAAAAATTAGGTCAGATTCTGAGTTGAAATGAGCATAAATAAAAGCAACAAGAAATGCATACATATCTTTTGTTTCTATATTATAAGCTAATCACGTTATCTCACTTTAAAAATACAAACCACATGAGTACATTTTAGGATACAATTTATATTAATCGTCTTAGTGATAAAAAAATGCCACTATAAAAGTATTTGCTGACAGAGAGAGAAAAAATGAGCAGAAAGAGCAGTAAGTAAATATTAAACTCAAGTTGCTTCCTTCACACAACCCCTGTTCAACCGTTATTACCACTGAAAAGCTTCCTACTTTAAATTAATCGCCTACAAAATGTGAATGAAAAAGAGATATTCCAAGATATCATTTTTATGGTCTATAAAAAATAACTCATAAAAAATACAATTAATCAAGTTAGCAGTTTATACAGAAAATGAAACAAAAATAAAAAATCCAAGTAATCACAATTGAGCATGTACATTCATTTATTAAAAAGCTTTTACAAATAGCTGGTTCACCAAGGCATCATATGCTTTAAATAAAAGTATTAATATTAAAAACCAACAAACTCAATTCAAAAATACATTCTCAGATAATGACTTAAATAGGCTTAATAATACAATAAATGCAGATTATGAAAAGGCTTTTATCCCTTCTAATAAAATATGCTTACATCTGGGCAGACATTTTATCCTTACTCTTTCATTAATATACAATCAAGGCATCTTTCCTTATAGATCTTAAATATAAATTGTTATCTACCTCTGAGGAATTCATCAGAGGTAAAACCGGATAATTTATCAAAACCAGTTTAGCATAAGAGCACTCACCCCCATGCTGGAGCAGCAGCTTGCCAATTTCTACATGTCCGTTTGACAGTGCATCATGCAAAGGAGTCACCCCGTCCACTTGAGTGAGCAGATCTACCTCTGGACAACGTTGCAAAATTTCCTGGACACACACTGTGTTGCCATAGTTACAAGCTTCATGCAAAGGCGTCCAGCCAGCATTGTCTAAATTAGAAATCAAGGCAAGTTTTAAAAAACAGCAGAAAAGTAGGACTTTGGACAGTAACGTACTGATAGTCTATTTCTTTTATCAGCATAATTTCTAGCTGCTTTATATATAAAAAGGATAAAAAAATACCTCCCCTATCATTCTACTTTGGAGAAAACAAAATAAACCACTGAAAACAATTTAAGCATATTTGTGTTGGAATCAAACCAAAATATGGACACCAGAAAAGGTTTCTAACAAGCTACAAATGAATATATCATGGATTTCTTGATTGCGCTATGGTGATATTTCCCAGGTAGCCTAGATAAGCTTACGTTGATTTTTCTTAATGTTGACATTTACCTATTTAATATCACTAATATTAAGACATTGCATTAGACCACAAAGATTTAGAGCTTACCTTTAACATTGATGTCTATTCCTGGTAAAGAGAGAAGAAAAATCAATTTCTCCACTTGGTTATTTATGCAAGCTCTATGCAGGGCTGTTTCTCCTGCCATAAAAAATTAATAGATTATTCCAGAGAAGACAGATATCAACTAAAGAAAATAATCAAAGAGCATGAACTAGGAGATGTGGCCCCATGCCAGAAAATTATTTATTGAGTTTTCCTTTTGACTGGTTTAAACCTCTCTTGTATTTAAAAAAAAAAAAGGAGGGTGGGTGGAATGGGGGTGGGGGGCGGGAACTTCTCCAATCCAAGAGCTTCTGTTCTATCAGCAATTCAGAAATGAGACTTTACTGCAAAAGGTTTAGCACAGGCATTGTCTCCCCTGGTTCAGGGTTTACAGCTTCAATCCCACGATAAAACCCCCAAATGATCAGAGAACACCAAAAATACTGGGTTTTAGAGCAATAAAAGTTTCGAGTGCAATTGCCCTCTCTTAAATTTATTCATGAACCTACGTTAAATGTATGGCTCTTTTTTACGCAGCATTTATAGCTTAATTCAAATGAATGTTTCTGGCTAAGCACGAGTGCTTCTACACACTCAAGTATAATTCAGAACTTCAAATCCATTAACAGATGGTTTGCTGCTTCTCAATAGGCTGTCTGGCTTGACTACAGCAGCACAGAGAGGGAGAAATGAAGGAATCTTAATATAAACACACACACACATACACACAGAAAAATTCTAGTACCATTTAAAGCTGAGCAGGGTGACAAATACAATGGAAAGGTTTTAAGGTCTGCTCTTTCTAGGAAGAATGCAATTAGTGCATGGTAGCTAAAATTTAGCCCATAACTCTGTTATAACCAAAAGTAATAAAATAGAAGTATTGATTTGATGATATGGGGCATTAAAAAACTTCTAATACATTGCTTAGGAAACAAATGAGATACTGAATCATATTCTTTCTTGCTATAAAATACTAAGTAACATACATTGCAGTATTTGGTTTTACTGAATATCTCTGTAACTTCTACCACGATGTTTCTTTTGCATGTAAAGAAACACACTTGAAGTTGCTCTAGACTATTTCTCAATTCTCTCCCTCCTCCCAGTCCCTTCTGCTAGTCAGCCTAAAGTCATTCATATTCATTTTACATTCTGAAGCAACAAAACAAAGAAAAAGGATACAGATTTGTAAAGTTAATATCCGAGTTCTCACCTAATCCATTATTCACATTTTGAGCAGAACTTGTACTGTGCAATTATGAACTTACATCATGCTGAACTATTAAGACCTCTGTGACACGACTTCCATGAGCGTCATCATAATGGTGAGCATATGTGTTTTACGAACACAATTCAGCTCCCACACAAAAGAGACTCAGGAGTTTACCCTGGCTAGGTACTTTTGTGCTTGTGAACTGAGAGGTTATCTAAGTGGAAAAGGTGCCAGAGTGAATTAATACAACACTATTCTGGTTTATTTATCCTTTAGGTACTTAGGTTCCAGTACGGTTAGAAGCAAAAGCCAAACACATTTCAGAGTCTGGGCTCAGTGCCTGGAAGAAAAGAGTCCATATGCTTAACACAGCTATGCAACATGACCTACTCCCCACTCTTTGTTCACAAAATGTCTAGGGCTGAAAGGGATGAAGACTGAATTATACTTTCAAATCAGAAGGCACTGATTCTAGGCAGCACAGGTTGACATGGATTAGAAATGTAAGGCGGGCAAGTCTAGAGTGAGCTCAACACATGCTACACATGGGGCCGAGTATTTGGAGAGGTATAGAGAGAAAGTGCAGGGGAAACTCTATTACTGTGTGTATTAAATGGCTATTTTCTTTGTGTTAGCAGCAATTCAAGAAAATAATATGCTATCCAAAAATATATTCCCTGGACCTAGTCCAATATTTAAGTTCAAGTATTCATCAGGGCAAGTACATTCAAGTTGCAAGTATTGACTACAACCACAGAAAGTGCTTAGCATAAATCAATTTAAAGACTTGGAATACCTTTTAGATTAGTCTTGTGAAAATTCATCTTTGTAACTAAAGAGGGGCAATTCTCCTTAGAATATGACAATTCTCCTTCTGACTTCTTTTTCAATCTTTTTAATGATGAGGAACATTTAGTAAGATTCCGCTCTCTGAAAGGAAACAAAGACATAATGAAGGCTTGTTTTTGCAACAAGGCATGCCAGCATGCATTAGAAGGTGAAGGGCATTTTGGGTTTTTTTAAAACCTAATCTTCATTTGAGAAACCCTGGTGGCATAGTGGTTATGCATTTGACTGCGATCTTTAAGGTCAGCAGTTCAAAATCATCAGCCATTCCATGGGAGAAAGGCGGGGCTTTCTATCTCCCATAAACAGTTACAGCCTTAGAAATTCAAGGGACAGTTCTACCCTGTCCTGCAGGGTTGTTGTATGTCAGCATTGACTGCATGGTTGTGAATTAGAGTGTCCAAACCATCTTAATTATTCATAGTCTGTCATGCAATGCTTTCTATTTTTAAATACATTCCAACTGATAGAAACAAATATATTCCAACTGATTAAAAAAATATATAATGAATTAGTTTTCATTTTATTAAGCCTCATACCCATAACTACCAGTGAAGTTCCTGCACATGAATAACTAAGTAAAGAGAAGAAGAGAGTGAAAAGCTAAGAGCAGGATGCAGACTTTTACTCTCCATTCTTATTCTTACCTTATTCTCTTCTTCCCTCTCAGAACTCAGGCTTTCTAAGCTTAATAGATCAGTTTAAAAAAAAATTTTAAACTATTTTATTGGCACATAATCCACATATCATACAATTTAATAGTTTAACCATATCAAGAAGGGTTGTGCAATCATTACCACAATACATTTTAGAACATTTTCTTCTTTCTTGTACTCATTGTTTTTAGCCCCCCATTTCCCCCAATCTCCCCTGCCATATCCTCAAGAAACCATCAATCCAGTCAGCCATACAAAAGTAAACAACAACAAAACTAAGAATAGGAACAAAATAAGACAGAGGAAAAACCTCAACTGAAAAGCAAGAGAAAATATTAAAAACTATGACATATTTAAAACGAGCCAAAGGGAGATCGATCCAATGGTAAGGTGTTCAATTTTAACCTAACTGCACCTGCAGCAATCCACTCTCCAATGCACTCTGCATGACAGCAAGGCTCGTCACACCCCGAGTCTCAGGTCAGGGGGGCTCACTGGAGAAATCCATGTGTATTTCTCGTACACTTAAAAAAGAAGTGGTGTTTTGCCATTTTCTGAAGATAGAGTGGCTCAGAAGAAATGCTGAAACAACTTTTAATGGGTAAAAAAGGAGATCAAATGATGATATTACATTTCCCTCCCCTCAAAACTGGCTTATTAGGAGCTAAACCAGAATTCAGAGGAAGCTCCTCATCTGGGGAAGTTAGTAGAACAGTTTAAATAAAGTATCTAACACAACTTCAAGGGGCCCTGGTGGAGTAGTGGTTACACAGTGGGCTGCTAACCACAAGATTAGCAGCTGGAATGCACCAGCTGCTATGGGAGAAAGATTTGGCTTTCTACTCTTGCATGGTAAAAAATGGACATTTGCCATTCTAACCATTTGTAAGAGTACAATTCAGTATCTTTAATTTCATTAGCCACAGTGTGCACCTATCACCATTATTCAAGTAAAGCACTAACTTGACGAAGGGTTTTACTTCTTTGGGGAAACACTTAACTTGAATAGACAAAGTATTTTTCTTGTATTGTAGAATGAGAAAACATTGCTTGTGCATACTGACAGTCTAAACTGGGTTGTCTGCTAATCTGTGTAACTGATAGACAGCATCACAAATGACCATGAAGCTTTTAAAACATGTACCAGAAAAAAGAGCTTTACTCCAAAGCACAGTTGGTATATAAGCACCACTTACGCTAACTCCGGCACTCCTTCAACTTGTTTCTGTATAGCACCATTCAGCATCAGCAAGGCCCTCGGAGATTCAATGCGAGGCCGCTGTCCTACTTTCCTTGGTACCTGCATCTTTCCAACTCCATGCATACCAGTTTTCCCCAATGCTGGCAAATAGGAATATACCTGTTGCAAAATAATATTATATTGCTTTCTCAACTACAGAGATCTAGGAAGCAGGAAAAAGATATTATTTTATACATATCATCATTTTGAATTCGATCATATTTTCTCAGTTGTGTCCTTATAGTTGCCATTCTACATAAATGTGAAGAATTATACCATTAAATCAAGATCACAGGCAGGGGCATCTTTAAATCCATAATTTTTTCTAATTCTATTTCAATGCAGTACAGCATTTTGAAATTAATTTTAGGACCAGCTTATGATTCTTTTGCATAGTCTTTTATAGAAGAACATCTAACATAGGTGCAACTGGTATCTGTCATTTCTATTTGATAATGCATTTTTTCAACAAGAGAAAACAAGCATGGAAATACAAGTAGTCTCGAAAGTGCAGAAGCCTTAAAGGCAAGAACTGTTATTAAAAAAAAAAAAAAAAATTCTGAACCTGACCAATAAACAAGTGAATTTCTCATTTGTTGAAGAATTCGTTGGAGCTTTTTTTTTTTTTTTTTTGGCACCGCGCCCCCTCCCCTCCCCTCGTTGGAGCTTTAAAACATTCAAAATCACAATCTTACACACTATTGCAAGTGATGATGAAACAAGGTTTTTGTACTATTTTTTTTTATGATGAATCCTTAATTATTGCCAAATTAAATTAAATTAAAACTTTTCACTAATTATGCCATCCCTGATGTAAAAAAGTTACAAGGTCTTATGGGGGTTTAAAAGATCTAATAATAAATGTCCTATATTAAAAATTGAGTAAGAACATTTACAAAACTTAATTTCCACACTCACTTGATAGAAATAAAAAGCACTAGAATACAGAGGCGTTTACCATTTTCTGAAGCGAGAGGGGCTCAGAAGCAATGCTGATGGAGCTCTGTATGCACAGCTTCTTGAAGACCGCCTCTGCCACAAACATTTGCAGCCAGGAGGAGGAAAATGAACAGATGAAGACTTCTAATTCCTGTGAAGAAAAGTCTGTAGAAACAAGAGAAACAACTACAGTTATTACATCCTATACCATTTCTTTCTAGAGACCATTTTTCCTCAGTGGATTTGATTTATTCAATTGACAATTCATATACAAATAAGAGGAGCTCTGGTAGGTAATGGTTACGTGGTGGGCTACTACCCGTAAGGCTAGCAGTCCGAGAAGCACCAGCCTCTGTGTGGTCAAAAGACAAGGCTTTATATTCCTGTAAGGAGTTACGGTCTGGGAAACCCACGGGGCAGTCCTATCTACTCTGTCTTTATAGGGTTGCTATCAGTTGGAATTGACTCAATGGCACTGAGTTTGGGTTTTGGCTTTATACAAATAAGTTATCCACATAATCTTAAACAACAACAATAAACACAATTATTTTTATTTCTTGTCTTTCAAGAGAAAATCCCTCTTTTAAATGCTCTCACATTTGAAAATAATTGCTTTTCATTAATGAAAATATAAGCCTTAAAATGGCTACATATGGTATAGCTAAATAGGAATAAACAAATATAAATAGAATTTTAACACTCACTATGCTTGCCATTTTGTTAAAGATCTCTTACAAGAGAGTTACTCCTTTGGAAAACCAGTACTTCGTTTTTAAGTGAGCACTGAAATATTTCACTTGCAATGATCAGTCTGGAACTGAAGGGAAGGAAGAAGTTAGAAACCCTCTTCTGACTGCACCTTTGAATCTGATCACTGCAGTGGATGGAGAAAGCCACACAGAGAAAAATAAAGCTATAGTGTCTGTATGATTTCCTTAGAAGTCTGTACCCATTCTACAATCGAGAGGAGTTATAATTTTAAATGAAAAACAACAGCAGAAACCTCACCAAATGCCTCAAATACCTTCCTTTCAGAAAGCTTAAGAACCCCAGTAACATAGAACTGCACATCATGTAAACTGAAAGTGGTTAAAGAGTGGACCAACTCTTTCCCAAGTAATGTAGGCAATGTTATGAACCTTATGTTAATATTCAGTATAGGTTATTAAATAAGCTAAAACTAAAAAAAAAAAACACAACAAAAAACCAAAATAGAAAGTTTTGATATACAAGAAGGTGGATTAGAGGGAATAAAGAACCAAAAAGCCCATAAAAATAGCAAAATGAAGATAATAAATGACAGAAAAGAATTTTAAAAATGTTTAATTCACCAGATTAGATGAAAATGTAAGAGCAATGATTGTTATAATTTTCACATATAGTAACATGCCCACATAAGGCACACATACAATATATATAGCTTACACATGAGTTATTGCACCACAGTGCTTCACACTTTGCAAGAGCCCATAGAGCGCATTCTATCCATAACACTCTTGCAGACAGATCTCCCTAGTTAGAGGCAGAGTTCTTAGAGATTTTGGGGATTGCAGGTGGTGCAGTGGGTTACATGTTGAGCTGCAAGGTCAACAGTTTTCCTGGAGAGAAAAATGAGGTTTTCTTTCTTGTAAAGACTTATAGCTTCAGAAACCCAAAGAGGCAGTTCTATTCTGTCCTATAAGGTCGCTATAAGTCGACAGTTCCAAACCAGCAGTAGTCTGAAACCAAAGGGAGAAAGACTGGGTTTTCTACTTTAGTAAAGTCAGTTTGGAAACCCACAAGGGGGCGCTGTGAGTCAGCACTGTGGCAGTGAGTTTGGTTTTTTTGGTTTGAGGGTCTCGGGTGACAATGGTCCAAGCCACAAGCCATCATGGGGCTGGTGGGGAACTGGGCAGCATTTCATTCATAGGTTGTCATGTGGACAAGACTCAAAGACAGCTAACAGAGAAGAGACACTTTCGGTTTTCTCAATTGGTGAGGGAAAGCGCTATTGTATCTAGTTGGAAAGGTTAGGGATGCTAGTAAACATCCTTCCATGCACAGGACAGCCCTCTCAGCAAAACCTTACAGCTCAAAATATAAACAGCGTCCAGAAGATGAACTTTATTATGGCCACGCTTCCTCTTGATGTACTATTAGCAATGCACCAGAAGTTGACTCCGTTCTAAGTTCTGCTAACTGATGTGTCTTCTGGTTGGGACATCCCTCTGACTTGCCTACCTTTTACTTATCCTTTGTTTTCTAAGAAACCCAATAAAAACTAGGTTCTCCGCTCTCTCATAACACCTAATTTTTCTCACTACAACACCTAGCACTTCCCATCATTTTAAAGATGATGTATTTATATAAATTCATCTTCTGTCTCTCGCACTAAAAGCTCCTAAGGCCAAAGACGGTATTTTGTTTTCTCTCTCCACTATATATGAAAGGGATAGAAACATTCTGACTGAGGTGTGATAAAAATATATACTCATAGAAGAAGTTCATATAAATCTGAAAAGGCATTAAGATAGTTGATAGAGAAGTCTGAAGGAATTAAACAGAAAAATAAAAGCGATTAAAGGGCTGGAATAGTTGGAAAACTATGGCTGCATTGCTATGAGTAAAATTTTAGTGGGTGAAGTCATGCACATTGGTGTACATTTTGTGTGTGGCTGCCTTCTCACGACAAAGGCACAACTGAGCCGCTGGGGCAGTCCTTTACAACCCAAATGATTCACTATTGGACACTTTACAGAAAAAAAACAAACTAAAAACAGCAGCCCACGAGACCATTATAACAGGAATTCTAAAGAAGTATGAAAAAATACGTTTTATATAGTTTGACCTTAAAATACATAAGATCTAAGAAAACTTTCTTTTGTGTGTCTATCCAAAGTGGTTAGAAACAGAAGAGAAAGCCATTTATGTGGGACAGGTGAACAGGAGAGCTGATGGAAGGAGAGAGCATTTTACTTACCTCCTCCTTAATATTCTACAAAACCAATTCTACTTAACTGAAATGAACCGCAAAGATGAATCTGAGTACATCGATGCCTCATTTATCAACTGTCCAGCTACCTGGCATTTACAGCAACAGTGAAACATCTACGTTCCAACTATTTTGTGCACTGACCTGGATTTCCCTCCCAAGTCCAGCCACTCCTGGAGCCACCCATGTTTGTGAGGCTTGCAGCTCAGGCAGCCAGCCCTAGAAGGGCTCCCGCTGGTCCCATGCCCACTGCCAGAGCTATGGTAGCAGCTGTTCAGGAGAAAGTTGACTGAGATGGCTTTTGAGGGAAACCCTTCAGCGATGAGGCTGCAAGTGGCTCGAGGGTCTAGGCGGGTCTAGTAGGGGAGGTTGTTGCTGTAGTTCCCTTCTATACTCAAGTGCTCAGGAGAGACCCAGTAATGCAGTGGGAGAGTGCTAGGGGTAATTCAAGGTCTGGAGGCTGCAGCAGAAGCCAGACTACTCCTCCTCTGCTAACTGGGCTGCTGAGCTCCTCCTCCGCTTTGAATTCCAGATGCTGCAAATCAGGTTCCCTGGAACACCAGCCCCAACAGCATAATCTTGGGGCTCAGAGCAGTGTTGATGGGAACACAGTAGTCCTGGGGCCCAGGGCTACTTCTGTATAGGCTGCTTCCGTGTCCTCCTTTCCTCACATAATGACCTAATCTTTGGACCCCCAACTGTGCCAATAAGTGAGGAAGGGGTAGACTGTCACCATGTGAATTTTGCACGTTTAAACTAGGAAAACCCAAAATATCCAATTTGCCATAGATGAGAGAAGAGGACCAAAATCTTGAACTGGATGTTAAATAATGACCAAATTTTAACATCTTTGCTAATGACTTAGGATAAATAAATAAATATCGTAATTGTGTTGGACAACAATTTGAAAAATTTTTTAAAAGAAAAAAGGGAATATCCACAGAAAAAAAAGACCCCCCAAAAGTGCTTTAAACAATAACTTACAAATTTCTTCATTAATATATTGCTAAGAAGGGCATTAATAGACTTGGTTCTAAAGTATAGTGTTCTACCAACTCTTTAATATTAGTTACAGAAAAGTTATTGCCCTCTTACAGATAAATTACTCACTTGATTTCTCTCTCTTGACAAGCCTTAAAAATCAAGCTGTATTAAGAACAAGAAACTATTAAGAAGATATTAGATTGAACGATTTTTAGAAATATATGTTGACATGTAAAGACTGCTTATCCATGGAATAATTTGAAGCCTAAGGAAACCAGTGGTGCCTGTAAAGGAGGGGTTGGGGTGTGGTGTGGTGTGGTGGTGGTGGCTGAAAGTGTTAAGTGAAGGGTGAGACCTACTTCCAAGCAGGGATATAATTTAATCTAATCTGGATTTTTAAATATTAGTGATCAAATACAGACCCTGGGGAGCAAAGCTACCACTCAGTTTGTAGAGGACTGTAACAGTAACATTAAGGTCTAGTTTTAGCCCAATCAGTCAGGTTCAAACTTCCTGGGTTTAAACTTGCTGTTTAAAAACGGAGAACTACAACTGTGCCCTGCTTTAAAGTAAGGGCTATTCAGAAAATGTGTAAAGAAAGTACGCCCACTGGTGTATGACATGCAGTGTTGTCGATAGTTGTCACTGAACAGATTCTGACTCCTGGTGACCCAATGTCCAGAGAGCTGTTCTAGAGGGTTCTGAAGGAGCTGATCATTCAGAAGCGCATCACTAGGCCTGTTTTCCAAGGCACCTGTAGGTGGGTTCAAACTACCAATCAATCATTTGGCTGGGTCTTTCCTGGGAAAGAGAAAGTAGGGGCAATACTGAAAGAGTAGATTATATGATTTAGCTGTGATAGATTATATTAAATTATTGTTAACAGGGTTAACCAAATATCATCCTGCTGGATATAAAATGGCCATGTCAGAAGCAGAGGGGGGAGGAGTTAGGGGAGAGGGTCAAGGGCCAGGAGGGTCAGCTGGGATCCCAATACTGATTTTACTCTGGCTGGAGGTGGGCAGGAAGGAGACACAGCTCAAATACTGAGGAGCCAGAAAAAGGGGAAGATGGTGAGAAATAGGAAGAGGGAATCCTGCCAGCTGGAGGCCGGGTGGCCTTGTCCCAGATCCACACCTGTACCTTGATGGAAAGGCTCATGGGTGTTAAAGATGGTGGTGAAGAAGCCAAATGGAAAAGCACCAACACTGAATGAGAAGTGAAAGCCCCCAGTATCACCAAATGGCTGGAACCCCCCCATCTGCTCTCAGGAGCAGGTCGCTGGCCCTGGGGCGGGGTGGGGTTTTCAATCTGGGATCCTGGGGCTTCTGGCTCCCTCGCCCATAAAGTGGGACCACCTTCTCTCTGCTGATCCCAGTTTTGCATACTAGGCACTCTTGCCGCTGAGGACGTGTCTCCAGCCACTTATGAAGACAGGGCCAACGGTACAAGTGGCCACACATGCTGACCACAGTTTCCCGAGCAGTCTCCAGACATATGTCACATTTGAAGGTTGCCCCAGCCCCGCCGTGCTCTAGATTTGGCCCTTCGGGGGCCCTGCCCTCCTCCTCCACAGAGGCCATGACTGGTTCTAGTTTGCCCCCATGGACCCCTTCAATGAGAAAGAGATTTTTAAAAAGCATAAAATGAAAAAAGAAAAAAAAGGAAGGAGAAAGAGACTGAAATCTTTCCTAAATTGGCAATGGAGGTTTAAGCTGCAGACAAGGTCTTACAGAGAATTCTCTCAGTGTAAAGCCCCAAAAGAGTTGGTAGACATATTGATCAAGCCTCCAGGGAATCGCCCCTGGCCACAGTCCAGGGACGTGAATAGCCTTGCTCTGGACAGAAAGCTGTGTAAAGTCAAATGTGGGAGAAGCAGTTAGGTTAAAATGTAACACTTTATTATTTGATCTCCCTTTTGACCTATATTAAAGCTGTTTCAGCTTTCAAAACTAAAATTTTTTTCCAAATGGGAATTTTCCGGTTTGGCAATGGTGGTGGGGTTAATTAATAATTGGTTGGGGTATGGAAGAACTTCCGGTTAAGAAAACCAAGAAAAAAAAAACCAAAAAAAAAAAAAACGGAATTAAAAATAACAAAGGGCAAGGCAATGGAAGCTGGGGGGGAAAGAAGCAAAAAAAAACAAGAAGAAAAGAAAAAAGGTCCGAAAAAGAATGGGGGAAGCCAAAAAACCCAATAAAAAAAATGAGTTGGGTAGAACTCTTCATGAGCTGAGCCCTGTGAAAATGAACACTGCCATCACACTGCGTCAATAACATTGCGCCCTCAGTTATTTCAGAGGAAGCTTTAAGGTTAGAGCAGATAATGGTAGAAGGAAGAAGTGAAATTGATACATCAAGAAGTCACTTTTGTTTCACTCTTACTCATTTATTGTTAGACATCTGATTCAAAGGGGAAAAATATAAGCAGTTTCTTAAGTTATGATAAAAAAGATAAATTCCAGCATGAAGTATCAAGGGAATATGCTTTGACCAGTTATACAACCTAAAATAATGCAAGGCTTTACTACAGATTCAGTATTTGGAGTCAGGATTTCTGTTTTTAATATGGTTAGGTATCCATACAGGAAGAGATCAAGAGATTGTTCATATTTTATCAACTGAGATTTGAATCTGATAATGCTTTCCATTCAATTTTAATGATTAGAAATATTAAAGGTATTAAAAACAGTTTTAACCATGTGAGATTCTAAAGTAGTATCCATTAAAAGTACAATTTTCTCACCAATAAAAACATAAACTGATTTTAAATTTATGTAATTGCATTTTTATTTGGTTAGGCTGGCTTAGTGAACGTTTAAATGATAGGATTAAGAAAAGCATATTAATATTATCTAAAATCTAAACCACTTGTTTTCAAAATATATTTTTACAAGTTAACAAATTTTCCATTTTGATGAAATCACCAAAATAGTATCTTAAAATAATAAATAATGATGGAGGGAAGGTTCACACATGTTTACAGCAAAATTCAGTTACAAAATTACATATACACTGCTCAACTACATAAATATCCTTAGGAATATCAAAAAGAAATATATTTTTAAAGAGTGGTAGTTTCCAGAGAGAAATGATTATGGGAAGTGTCTATAATCTTCCTCTTTGTTATTTTTATGAATACTCTATGCATGCACACACAGAATTTTATAAAACTATTTTAAGGAAAGCTACATATGAACATGTGTTAAAAATTACAGACAGCCTAAGAAACCCCAGACCAATTTCTGGAACGGGTCTAAAAAAGCATAGCAATGCAACCACACTTACCATCGCATGAAAGGGAAACGTAACTTCCTAAGTCATCAGACATGTGTCGCATCACATTTCTACCCATCTTAAGGCCAAGGAAGATCCAATAATCTACTGCTGCTCCAAGAATTCCAGTCAACAAATAAGCTAGCTCATGCTTGAAGACCTAGCGTTAAGAGTGGAAAGATATTATTAATATTTCTATCAGTGTTTTATTTGAATACCTATTGAGAGGCAAAACTTAGCTCTTGAAAAATACAGGGTGACAAAATACCCATTAATAAACTATCAAGGGCTCATGCGGGAGGGGGGAGCGGGGAGGGAGGGGAAAAATGAGGACCTAATGTCGGGGGTTTAAATGGAGAGAAAATGTTTTGAGAAACGATGTAGAAATGCGCTTTACACAATTGATGTGTGTATGGATTGCGATAACAGTTGTATAAGCACCTAATAAAATGTTAAAAAAAAAAAAAAAGAAGAAAAATACAGGGTATCCTAATGTTAGAAGGTATGGTTAAGGGGTCTAGCAAACTAAACCACATTTTATTTTCCTCTTGTGCACAGATGCACACTGGCACTCTTTCTCTACACCCCACCCCCTAAAATAAAATAGTTACTAAAATTTCCAGAGACTTCTATATAGGTAGCTTAAATATAACTTTTATCTAATTTTTATCCAATGGTGTCGACACAAGTGATTTAGTCACGTAATTCCATTAAAACAATGAGAAATTCTTGGCTTCTGTGGATTTCTCTTGGGATTTCTGTCACTAAGAACAACATATGGACAGAAACTGAGATATATTTGGTCACCAATGCTGTTTATGAACATAAAATTAAAACTTAAATTTCTCTAAACAGGCACTTTCCAGAAAAAAGACTTGGGAAACACAGCGACTAAAAGCTCTGGAAAATAAGAAGGTCCATTTGTTGTAAAGAAATAGATTGATTCAAATCTTAAGTATTAAATTATATCAATACTTTTTATCTAATCTAGAGACCACTGTTGAAAACAGTATGAATATTGCTTTATCACTTCTACACTTAATATTATTACATTCCTGTAAGAGCTCTAACATAAAGCCAAAACTCACTGCCATGCAGTCAATCCAACTTACAGCAATCTGATGGGGCAAAGCACTGTCCCACTTGGGTTTCAAGGTATAATTCTTTATGGAAGCAAATGGTCACATCTTCAAACCACTGGCCTTTCAGTGAGCAGCTGAGCTCATAACACGGAGCCACAAGGGCCCCTGGATTAGAAATGTAGCAAGGCATAAAAACCTTACTTACTTACAATAAGTGTGCTTCATGCTAATGTTTAAAAACATTTTCCTAATCTATAAAATTTAGGATAAACTATAAAGATGAAGAGGTGTAAACATAATATTTTAAAACACCTTCAATTTAAATGCAAACATTTTTCACAATGACATTAAAACTACTTGAGATTCCTATATTGGTATTTGTTGTGTAGGCATGTTGAATGCATGAAAAAAATCACGGAATTAACAGTTGGGTAAAAGGCATGTGAAAGGGTTTTAAAAAATGTACAGCCTCTGAATGATTATAGGTACTAAGTTCTGCCATTACACTCTGCCCAAGAAGGGACTGGAGGAATACTGGTAGAGGAGTTGGGCTGCCAACCCCACGCCAGCAAGTCAAACCACTAGCCAATGAATGGGAGAAAGATGAGACTTTCTACTCCCATAAAGAGCCCCAAATAAAATGATTTAAAAAAAAAAAAAAGACTTACCGTCTTGGAAACCCACAAGGGCAGTTCTATTCTGTCCTATAGGGTTGCTATGCATTAGAATCGACTTGATGGCATTGGCATTGATTTTCTTGGTTTTAGGATGGGACTCACTCACTCACTCATTTACTCATTTAGTTAATTGTGCCAACCTGGCCGATAATCACATGTGGGTCTAATTGAAAGGCAGAGGGATAAATGGGTGGTGAGCCTCGCCTTTCTAGTTCTCGGGTCTCGTTTTGTGATGGTTGCACCGGGTGCAGCTGCTTTAGCAGTTCCCTGCTTCAGCTTGCAAGACTGACTTCCTATAAGACATCCCCAAGGAGAAGCTACATGGACCTATCCCGATGCAGCCCTGGGTGCTGGAGCAGCCATGTGGAGACCCCTGCTAGTGCTGAGATGCTTGTTCATTCACTGACTCAGCTTTCCTCCTAAGTCGGCATCATTGCCTCTGTTTTGTGAGGTGGAGGACTTTGTGGACTGGTGTTGGGTTAATGGGTTAATGTTGGACTTGTGGGCTTGGGCAGCACTGGGTTGGGATGTTTTTGCGATGCACATTTTCTTTACATAAAACTCTCTTATACATGAGTTGCTATGGATTTGTTTCTCCAAAGTACCTAGACTAACACACCCACTCACTGCCAAAGAGTTGACTCTGACCCATTGTGAACCCATTGGCCCTATTAGTTTCTGAACTGTAACTCTTTACTTGAGTAGAAAGCCTCATCTTTCTCCCAAGGAGAAGCTGGTGGTTTTGAAGTGCTGACCAGTAAGTAACAGAAAAATCCCTAGCACTCAGAATACCCAGGGACTACTGAATTTGTTTTACTTGCCCTTAGACAACAAGATTCTGATAGGCATATCTATAGTGTTTCATGAAAACATTATTACTTGTAATAAAAAGATATTAGTTAAATGGTTTTAAAATTGAAGTTTTGATGTGTCATTTGTTGAACAAACAAAGGAAAAGGGCAAAATAGCATATACATGAAATCGAGTGAATAAGGGTTTATCAATTAAAACTGCAGTTATGGTCAGTAGCATGCATACAGCCCCATTGCATTCTGGGACAGCAAATTACAATATGGCAGGGATAGACTTTCAAAACTGGGAGACATCCCAAAGTGCCGGACTGAAGGGATTTTACCATATATACTCGTGTTTAAACGGAATTTTTCAGTACATTTTAAATGCAGTTTTTATGGTAAAATTAGGTGCATCGGTTGATATTCGGGTAGGCTTATACACGAATATATACATGGTAAATCTATTTTGGAAGAACTATATCAGAATGCCTCTGGTATTTAGGCTATTGGTTTAGGGAAGCACTGCACTTCCTCTATTACCAAGGGTCATGATACAGAACCTTGCCTACAACCTGATGCTGCTAGGTCAGGATTCATAGGTGAGCTTTATTACTATTCCCTCTCCTGCCTGTCTTGACTACAGTTTATATCTTTCAATTACAGCTGTATGACATGTGAAGTTAGCAGCATAACTGGACATTTCAACAAGTTGAGAAAGCACCAATCGCCCCCACCCCCACCCCCTACAAGATGGGTGGTGGTGGGAGTGGTGGAGCTAGGAATCTAGCTAACCAGAATTGACAGTCGTAACTACCAAAAAACTCTGCAGGAAGCCAACTCACCTTTTTGTAAGGCCAAATGTAAATGATCAGTATGTGCAAGTTAAAGGGAAGTCCCCTGACAGCCACAGTCATGGCTCAATTTGTCAAGGAAACATAAAATCAGTATAGTGAAAACTTATATTTAAGCTAAGGAAGAAAAAATTAAGCCTTTCACTGTGAATTGGGTCAGAGTATATAGAGCAAATCACTTTCCATTCTACAATTCAGACACATTGTTTCATGACATTGATTGCAAGCCATATATATAAAAATCATTTTATTGGCAGCTCTTACAACTCTTATCATAATCCATACATACATCTATTGTGTCAAGCACATTTGTACATTTGTTGCCATCATCATTCTCAAAACATTTGCTTTCTACTTGAGCCCTTGATATCAGCTCATTTTTCCCCCTCCCTCATGAACCCCTGATAATTTATAAATTATTATTTTTTTGTCATATCTTACACTGTCTGATGTCTTCTTTCACCCACTTTTCTATTGTCCATCCCCCAGGGAGGAGATTATATGTAGACCCTTGTAATCGGTTCCCCCTTTCTAACCCACCTTCCCGGTATCA